TTACATTCCCTTCCATATATAGCATCTCATTACTATAAACAGAAGATCCCTTATTTAGAATGAATGCATCAATATCCTTTTAGGTGTAGAGACCATGTAAAATTATATTTCCGGTTCCACTAATCATATACAACATGGTTAAATGCAAGAAAGAGCGACATACTTCCATTTATTTGTGTACTTTAGCATCCTACTTTCATTTCTTTATACTACAACATTCTACTTGTCATCTTTTTCTTATTAAAGCAATATACCAAATGATAACATTGTACTTTCGATTTTTTTTGTAGTTGGGAAAAATCTACCAAATTACCGCGTTGAACTTCATAAAATTTCCTAATTTACATTATACTTTTAAATATCAACCCAATTATAGCAGAGTATTTGGACGGTTTTTGTTACAATTGGGTAGATTTTTCAATATACATATGTCGTGAAATATAATTAAAAACAATAAATGAAAGTACGTGTATGTTGCTAACTTTTGCATTTTTTACCCTATATAACCATAGGCCTAGACTGAAGATAACCTTGAGAAGATGCATAAAGTTTTGTTTAACCTAAAAAGTTTGAAGTCACATGAGGGAGTACTAATTCTTGAGCGTATGTATGTTACTGTGTTCTGAATTCCAATTTCCTTTGTGGTATCCATGAACCATGACTTATAATATTTATAAATGTACATGGTCACATTTCAATGTTTCCTTTCGATGGTTAGTTTAGATACATCAACATTAAGTTTTGAGTTTTTTGCTTTTACAGTTGTGAACCTGACTCTTATAGACCTTCCTGGGTTAACAAAAGTTGCTGTAGGTGAGCATTTACTAGTATTTATGTATAACATCATTTTTTCCAGCCTCATGGAATGGAATTGGACAATATTTGTAGGGATGATAAGAGCACGATGTCCCTGTCCCACATTTTTTGGTTCAAATATTGTCCCTACTCATTCATTCCAAACACAGTATAACATGTCTTAAAAAAGTAATGGACTATATTTGCAGAGGGACAACCAGATTCCATTGTTGAAGATATTGAAATGATGGTCCGTTCTTATGTTGACAAGGTCGGATTACCTTGGCTGCTAGTTGTTGCTAAAATTTGTGTTGTATAATATGAAAATTTTGATTTTCACACAAGCGGTATGATGTTTTTTTTTACACACAAAAGTTAGCACTAAAATCAGTAATTAACAAATGAGTGTAGTGTAGCTTGGACTAAAACCTACTTCACAATTGAGACCGTGTATCAGAGAGTCAGGTTAAACGTCCCGCATCATGATACATGACATCAGCTCTAGATCTTATGTATTATGTTTATGTATATCCTTTTTTTTAATTAACGAACTTAACAGAAAGAATGACAACATAGAAAGTCAAGGAAATGAGGCTTTCTCCATTAAGTTGTAGCTCATTACAAAGTTTCCCTCATTTACTCTTTTCTTCCACTTCCCCAAGTATGTTGTCATCGTCTAAAATACTTTTGGAACACCATTTATCCAAACAACACTTACTAATCGGAAAAAAAAACAGAATCTTAGTTTAGTAGTAACAGACTACATTAAAAAGGGTGGGTTAACATGGCTCATGCATCATTAGTTCAGTCGTTTTATATCTAATAATTTGCTTTGTTATTGGTGTAGCCGAATTGCATTATTTTAGCAATTTCTCCTGCTAATCAAGACATTGCCACATCCGATGCTATAAAGCTTGCTAGAGAAGTTGATCCTTCAGGTATCTTATCAACTCTTGCATGTTGCGATTGGACCAGACTCAACAAGCTTTCTAGGGATACTTTTGAGGAGGAGGATCGAGAGGGCACTTACACTTTTTTTTAGTATGTACTAGATATCGAGAACCTATACAACCTTTTTGGGTGCGACAAGGAATTTCAAAAAAAAATCCCATTGACATCGGTCTTGATTTAAGAATACTAAATTAATGATTTTCGTAGGTGACCGAACATTTGGAGTGGTAACCAAACTTGATCTCATGGATGCGGGAACCAACTGTTTGGATGTATGTGATTATCATTTCACGAGTATTTCGATATATATATATATATACACACACACACGGGACTTAACAAGTATTTTAGAGGATGTGAATGACGAGGGGATAGAGCCCCAATCCCATCTTTTTGGGTGAGACAAAGGATTGCATTGACATCTGCCTCAATCCTAGTCCAATGTGCATAATAATACATACAACCATACTTGATTGGTTATAGTTAAAAATGTTTGGTTGGTGTTGGTGTGATTAAAAATATGACAGGTTCTTGAGGGAAGATCCTATAAGCTTCAGCATCCATGGGTTGGAATTGTAAACCGTTCACAAGCTGATATCAACAAGAATGTTGACATGATGGCTGCTCGACGAAAGGAACAGGAATATTTTGAATCTAGCCCTGACTATGGACACCTGGCACATAAAATGGGTTCAGTATATCTTGCAAAGCTTTTGTCCAGGGTCAGTCTTCACTCTTTAATCTTCATTCATACATATTTTCTTAGCTTTACTGTATGTCTAATGTCTTATTAGAATATATATATTTATTTGCATATGGATTTGACTGTTTGACAAGTTTGTGGTGGTGTTTCTGTTTTTTCCTGAATCAGCATTTAGAGAGTGTTATCAGGCAGAAGATACCAAGCATAGTTGCTTTGATAAACAGAAATATTGATGAAATCAATGCAGAGCTGGACCGTATTGGCAGGCCAATCGGAGTAGATGGAGGGGTATATTATTTTTTTTTTATTTTTTATTTTAATACTTGCTAAATATTCATTTTTGTTTTTTGCTTTGTTTTTCCTCGACAGGCACAACTTTATACTATCTTGGAAATGTGTCGTGCATTTGACCACGTGTTCAAAGAGCACCTTGATGGAGGGTAATGCATGAATGATATTTACTTGGCATTTTCTGTAGTTGTTAATTTAGTCGACTGCAAATTTCAAAAGTGATTATTATTATTATTCTGGGAGCAGGCGAGCAGGTGGAGATAGGATATATGGAGTGTTTGATCGTCAACTACCAGCTGCTTTGAAAAAGCTTCCTCTAGAGCGCCACCTGTCTACCAGTAATGTGAGAAAAGTAGTTTCAGAGGCTGATGGTTATCAACCCCACTTGATCGCCCCTGAGCAAGGTTACAGAAGACTAATAGATGGATCTCTTGGATACTTCAAGGGACCAGCTGAAGCTTCTGTGGATGCCGTATGTACATTTTCCATCTTATATACCTGTTGCTGTTTCTTACACAACACAACACAACACAAGCTCGGGGTTGCTTCCCTCTCATTGAATTAACTTATTAACTGTATGTAGGTACACTTCATTTTGAAAGAACTTGTGAGGAAATCCATGGCAGAGACGGTGGTAAGTAAATCGTATACAGACACGATCTAAACCCTAAAACCTACCATGTATAACCTGAGTGGAATATTTGAATTTTGAAATTTGTTCAAGTTCAAGTTATTTATGCCACTGCACCCAAATTTAGCTTGCTTGCATCTAGAAAAAGCTCATATATAGCTTGAACGATGACTAATGGGATGAGGTTGAGGAGTCGTCTTTTGCGTATGCAAAAGATCAAGAGGGCGTTTCTGTCTTTACTTGTTTTTTCTATACCTAATTCTTTTTGGGTGGGACAAAAAATTGTAGTTTGTGTCCAGTGTCGTTGACATCAACCAAATGCAGTATAATCACAACCACAAACACAAGCACTTTTGTTTGCAACCAAAGAGCAAGGAAATATTATTATATTCTCTGAAGTGAATAATACTTGATGATATGAATATGATGTGTGATGAACACAGGAGTTGAAGCGGTTCCCATCACTCCAAGCGGAGATAGCAGCTGCTTCAAATGAAGCACTGGAAAAATTCCGTGATGAAAGCCGGAAAACAGTTAGCCGCCTCGTGGAAATGGAATCAACTTATCTGACTGCCGAATTTTTTCGGAAGATTCATGCTGAATCAGATAACAACCCCAGAGACATCCATAAAAACAAGCATTCAACCACATCCCACCCAAATGCAGATCGTTACAATGATCATCACTTCAGAAAGATTGGTAAACACCCTACCCTATCCATCCATCTTCCCATTTGATCTATATATTTGACTTTGACCTGTAGTGTTGTTATTTTTCAAATGAATGATTGTGATCAGGATCAAATGTGTCTGCTTATATTGGAATGGTTTGTGACACTCTCAAGAATACCATCCCCAAGGCTGTTGTTTATTGTCAAGTCCGAGAAGCAAGGAGATCTTTGCTCAATCTCTTCTATACACAAATCGGTAGAAAAGAGGTAGATATCTTGTTTTAGCCAACATTTGTTCCAATGCCGTAATATACTGTATTAGGTGGATCATATGGCAACCTATATATTATAATCAAAAGAAAAAAAGTCCGTGATTGTTAGTTAAGTTGGTAAAATAAGCATCATACCATTTAATTTACCAAATGGTGATGAATGTTTTAATGCAAATCAAAAGAAAAAAAGTCCATGATCGTTAGTTAAGTTGGTTAAAATAAGCATCATACCATTTAATTTACCAAATGGTGATGAATTTTTTAATGCAGAAAGAGCAACTTGGTAGAATGTTAGACGAAGATCCAATGCTCATGGAAAAGAGAGAGACTTTATCCAAGAGACTTCACCTCTACAAGTCAGCAAGAGATGAAATCGATTCAGTCTCATGGAAGTGAGAAAGTAAGCGCCTTGCCTCATCACGTTTACAAATCTGTACAACTAACTCTCTTCTTTCACACAAGTTAATTTTGTTCATTTGTACGTCATCATCTTATGTTGTGTACTAAGGTTGAAAAGACTAGAACTTGATTTGCTAAAAAACAATATGTTGTGTTACGATAGTTACTGTTTTCAGCTTCAAATACATATACATATCAAAGTTTTATAAACATACAACGGAAAACCTGTGGTAATTATAAAACTTGGAAACAAAATCCTATATGATAATAATTAAGAAAGAGGAATATTCATGGGTCCACATCCTGCCTGCTTGCCAAACACAACTCATGCAACTCATTAAGCACCCACTCTTCACCGGTATGACCACCCAACACAAGAACCCTGGTACCCCCAACAACACAAGTACTATGACCCCAAGCAAACTTGGGAGGTTGACCAGGCACATTCAAAATTCTCCAAGATGGTTTCTCCTCGGCAGGGTCCAACAAAAACACCTGAGAAGGGGAGTGCAGCCCAGCAATGGAACCACCAAATATTATAACCCGCCCGCATGGCATACTCATGGCTACGTGGTCAAGCCGTGGTGGTGGGACCACAGCACTCTGGGTCCCAACACCCGTGAACCCATTGCACTCCAAAAGCCTCCATTCAGGCTTCTCATCCATTACATCCATCGTATATGCCTCACTTGATCTTAACCTTAAGTGACCGCTGTTTGCCAGACCCCCGTACATGAGAATTTTTGTTCTTCCAAAAACAGACAGCGAGTGTCCCAGTCTAGAGGGTGGGACCGGTGAAGTCGGGATTTCTCGCCACATCGGTTTTTCCATTGTCAGATCAAGGATAAACGTGTCGTTCAGAAGGACTCCTGCGTCTGTGCACCCGCCTGAAGATAAAGATATAATAAGAAACCAACTTTAACAACATGTTTAAAATAAAATTAAAATTAACTACAGACCTGAAACAACTAATTTAGATCCTTCTATGGTGCAAGAGCTGTGCCAAGATCTTGGCGGGGGTGGACCAGTGCCAAACACTTGTATCCAGGTTGGTTGTTTGGCATCCAAGTCAAGAACAAACACATCATTCAACAATCCTTGTTTCCCACACCCACCAAACACCACCAACCAGGAGCCATTAAGTGAGGAAAGCGTGTGCCCCCATCGCCCTGGTGGGGACGACTTGACACTCACCTGCCGCCACTCGGGATTGACAGCATCAAGATTAAGAACAAACGTATCGTCCATTGGCTCCATGTTAACTCCTTCACCACCAAATAAAACAAGCCGGTTTCCAGCTGCACATGCGCTAAAATTACAACGTGAAGGCTCGACTGTACCTCCGACTCTTAGTTTCTTCCAACAAACAGCCTCAAGAGTGGTGAGCTCACGAGCAAGACGGCCCCACCCTAATTTATTATTAGTCATATGTTCTAATGCACCTGTCACTTCTCTTCCCCAAGCATTCTGACAAACCATTTTTCTAACATGCTCGTTCTTTGTAAGCAGGCGGATCCGCCTACAAACAGATCCGATTGAAGCAACATCTCTGGGTGTCAATCGGGACAGAATGTCTTGAGCCATTACTTCATCTGAAAGTTGAAGAATCCCACACTCGATTTGTTGTTGTTGCTCGATGTTTGGGGAGTGGAATTTATCACTTACTTGTTGATTAGATTGAGAGTGAGAGTGAGAGTGAGACTGAGATTGAGATTTGACGTCGTTGTTGTGAGTCTCTTTGAAAACAGGGTAGGATATCGAATTTAGATCGATTTTGGCTTCTGTGAATACTTGGATGCCTATCACGTGTGTGACTATGCCATCATCACCATGAATTGGAGCAAGTCTTAGCCGGTTGACCAATGGAGTTCCGTCTTTTCTGAAGTTGAGAAGCTCTCCCTGGAAATCGATTCCTTCTTCCAGACATCTTCTGATCTCTGATACACACACAGGGTCCACCAATGGGTGCCGTCTTTGGGCTCGGGGGTCTCTGTACTGCAAGAAACGACTGAGGCAAAACATTTCCAAATAAGTACATTTCTCAAACTACAAATAAAAAGAAAAAAAAAAGTGAAAAATACATTGCATTTAACTCTATTAATTATGCTTTTCAACTATCATGCAAAATTTCTCCCTAGAACTGCTACTGTTGGATTCGATATCAATCAACCTAATTGTAGCCAACTCTCAAGTTCCAGTTGGAAAATAACTGAAATTGGGAGCCAGATCCAACAATTTGATACAAATGCAAAAATAAACCAAGCGACGCATAGATTCAATGAGTAAATGTAAAACACAGAGCTCGTTAAACCTCTTTTCTATGAGATCTACAAGAAGAACACATGTTTTCCGTACACTCTCATATGAGCGTTTAATTGATAACCGGAAGGGAAACTTTGAACTAAAAGAATAACAAGTAGTAAATCGGAATGAGAAAGTGGAAATATACCAGTTCCGACCAAGGACTTCATCGGCACGATAACCGGTGGTGGATTCGAATACCTTATTAACGTAGATTATAGGAAAATCTGGTTCCATAGCATCCGAAACCACAATTGAAGTCGGAATCATCGGATTGAAAAACTCGCCTAACCTCAACGAAAATCCACCACCGCTCTCCTCCTCCTCATCGTCTATGTCGTCGTAGCAGTAGTCGTCGTCATCGGTTGCGCTTTTGAGCCTCTTGATCCTCTGAAGATCGTCTGATTCATCGTCTATAGGCATCCCCATGGCTAGTCAAGCAAGGAAAAGATAGAATGGGGAATGGAAGGTGAGAGATAGATATTTATTCAACTTTCAAAATCCCATCAAAATATCCCACTTTTAAAATATCCGCCGGAAGACATACATAAATAAATTAACTTTTTTGTTTTTTCTTCCTTCATTTTACCGAAATTGATGCGTCGTAAAACAGGACACGTGTTGCTTTATACATCACCCTCATATCATAATACTATAATACTATTTGAGAAATTAAATATATTTTTATATTTCCTCTTCCTATCAATTTAAAATGTTAAAATGTATCCTATTTAATAAAATTAATGATATTTTAATATATTTTTAATATATTTATCATCATTATATTACTACCCAATTAAAATATTAACATATTTCATATTTAAATAAAATTAATGATATTTTTAATACATTTATCATCATTTAAAATAATTAGAAAGATGTCTAAGAAGATAAATAAAAGAATATTTAATTTATCATACGATTTTATTACCAAAGTCATCTCACATACATGTCGATCATTCGTTTTATAACATAAAACAATAAATGCAATACTTGCAACGTATTTATTTATTAAGAAGAGCATTATATATTTTTATCATTTTGATAGCATGCTTTGAATTCAGTTTGTTCATTAATAATGATTTTTTGTTATCTTAATTGTACTTGATAGCAGGCTTTGAATTTAGTTTGCTTATTAATAATGATTTGTTGTTATCTTAATTGTACTTGATCTATATCAAAATTTAGTAGTAAACAATTTGTAACAGTTTTATCATATAACAAAATAAAAAACGATTAAACATGAAGATATTTAGGGTGTGGGGCAATGCAAAAGCAATTGACAAGATGTGACGTGTATCGTAGTTGAAGATATTTTTATAAGTCTACCACAAATATCTCATCTAATCAGTCAGTTATCTTCCTCTATATAACCTTAATATTTAGATATTTAGATATTTCGATCACAGTGGCGCGAATATTTGTTTGTGATTCAGATTCTGTTTTTGATACTTTCGGCCAAAAGGACTTTTGGCCCAATAATGTCCCAAAACTTAAGGTCCAATAGTGGCCCAAAACCTAAGACCCAAAATGGTTCATGGTGACCTAAATACGCCTAATGTACAACTTGTTTGGCACCAAGGAAAAATGTAACGCCTCAACAATATAAACCCAAAAAATTTCATTTTAAAATTAATAAAATGGTAATCGGTTCGTCGGGAACCTTCTCTCATAGATTCTCTTCACCAAGTCTTCGCCAACAATCCGCTCTTATCCTTTGGTGTCAAAGGGAGAGTTCCTTACTTGTCTTGCCCAAAAACTTTCTTTATTCTCATTGGAGAAAGACTCTCCTTCTACTTTCTTTGATAGGGGCGGAGAATACCACTCTATCAATAACAAGAAAAAAAGTAGCAATTCCGTTTTAAATGGTTTGAGCTTGGAAGCAACATGCTATCTATCGATAGGCGATAACAGACTGCTATTGGATGCTTCGCCTGTCGATTCTATCATGGTCGTCTTGGATACATCAGAGGAAGACTATCATCTCTATCCGGGTACGATCATAGCATAGCTTCATTCATTCGTTGAGTCTTGGGGATTACCATTAGCTGGTAAGGTTTTACACATTGCTACTTTAGCTGGTAAGGTTTTACGCATTGCTACTTTACCATGATACATCAGAGAAAATGCCCTAAATGCCTTCCATAAGCCAAGAGACAAGCATAGCACTTTACCATGATGTGTCTAGGACCCAAAACAACCAAAATACCAGCACCCATAGGTTTTTACGGCAGCAAGCTTATGGCCAGATGGTCCATGGTCCGTAAACTCAAGATAAGAGTGTTTTGATGCCACAAACACTTCCTAAGGCATAGGCATGAATTTAGAATGCTTCCTTATGACGTTTACGACCCTCATAAGCATAAATGGCCATGAGTTTACGGTAGTAAACTCATTTGGGCCGTGAACTCCTCAAAAACTCCAAAGAAGGTGGTCTTTCTCATCCTAGGTTAAAGCTAATATCCCTAAAATATTCCCTAGCTTTCAAACTTGCATTCCCACATGTGTAGCCATGAGTTTACAGCCGTAAACTCCCTTGGGCCGTGAACTCATGGTAGTAAACTCATGTGAGTGCCTTTATACCTTCCTATGTTGAATCACATGTGATTCCAACACTTGGTCAAGGTGTTTCCTAGACCTGGAAGGTGTTTCCTTTCATATAGTTGTTATAAACACTATATTCATGTCAATATGTGTCCTTATATGTCATTTAGGACTTATTGTGTCTCGGGACTTTATTCGTGGAACTTCTCATCCTTACACGCATACTCGTTTGAATCACCCACATCAGGTGAGTTCATACCCCGTAATGAATCTTTTAACTATTTTAACTGTTTTAAGGGGGAGTACAGGTTGAACACAATGATAATTGTGTAAATGTTTGTTATTAAACATCTTTCAAAATGTTACTTATGTTAATTAAGTTGTCAAAACATTTCAAAACTCGTTTAAAGTTATGTTACTTGATAGTTATACAAAACTCCGTTTTTAAAGTAAAAGCATAACTTAGTAGAGAAATGAGTCTTTTCAGTAACAGTCCAAGTAGAGTATTAGTAAACTATTATAGGTATAGTTTAGGAGAATGCTATCCATTACTTCTAGTACAATGAAGCACATAAAGAAACAATACCAGAAGATAACGAACAGTGAAGAGAATCAAACATTACCAGAACAGAACATAACAAATTAAGTTGCTATAGCATGAGAGCACACAGACAGGATCTAATTATACCAATGAATCACTTCTACATTAGTGATAGTTATATTGGGTATACATGATCATATAACTTTAATGTGGATTACACGGCTTGCATGGATTTTCTTGGGTCGCGTTGGGTTCCCTTAATCTCTTTTCATTGAGAGCGCTTAGTAGGTGTTCTAGCTTTCACATTATGACCGTAATAAGACAAATATGTTTTTAGGTTATTAGTACATCCACATGTCATTATAAACGACATATGTGTACTTACTTTTCCCATTACTTTCATAAAGTGACAATACCACTTGAAAGTTGATCTATTTTCTAGTTAAGATAGTTATAAACTAGCGAGAATATACTTTACAATTGACAAAGGAACAGTCGGGTTTAACACAGAATAGAAGACGCCTTGGTAGAAGGCTACAATTAAAGGTTAAGATCATGATGCTAACTTTATGATTCCTTAATGTATACACTATAGCATACATATATGCTAAGTAGATCCCGACAGCTAATAGGATGTATGCTCTTCGTTATATGTCCTGTTCCCGTTGGATGTGGGCTTGCACCAAGGTCACCCAATCTATTATCTACCCAAATCTATATATATTTATACTTAGTATACATTAAGTCATCATAAGGATACCAGGTACGGATCAGGTCATAGTACACAGAGTCAACACACAGTTATTCTAGTACAAAACTTACTTTTCAAAGTCAGTACTTTTGGTATACAAAACTAGCGATTTCCCAGTTAAGGGCTTAATCCATTTTATTAAGCCAACATAGTTTTAAAGACTTTAAGTGAATTAACTCTATAACACCTTAGTTTATACACCATGGTTATATATAAAACTAATATCCAATAGATAGTTAGATGTGTGTCTTCCCCCGATGTCCTGTTCCCGTTGGATGTGGGCTTAGGGCAGATTCCCCCAATTAACTATCTACTCGATATCAGATTATATATAGCAGTATAAACAAATCTATTATTAAAGTAATCACCATAGTCAATATTTTATTAAAAGAAAAATAGGTTTTCTTACAAGAACTCTCCATTAGATATAAATGAACCATTACAAATAACTCCATGAGTAACAAGTGAATACACCAAGGTTATATATGACAACGATCTAACAACCAATGGAATGTGTGCTATCCGCCTTACTTGCTGTTCCCCGTTGGGTTGTGAGTTTAGGACAAATGCGCACAATCGATTGTTTATTTACTCTATGTATATATAACTTGTACCCACTTAGTATGCATAGAAAGGCTTGTAGTGTCATTTTACTTAACTTCCATTAAAGTAGGAAATATAGGATTTTCTAGAGGAACAGGCGAACTTTTCAAAACAGAACTTACAACTTACATCACTTTTACATATACATTTTCCAAATTTTACAGCTTACTCACATCACTAAAATCTTATGAACTCACCAGCTTAATTGCTGATCAACTCTTTCAAATAACTTGTATTCTCAGGAGACTATTAGACAGGTGCTCGTGCTGGGATTCAGAAGATGGAGCATTACAGCTTCAAGTCTTGTTTTGTTATTTGTTTATGACTTCTATGTTTTGTGAACACACACAAAATGAAATGGTTGTTCTTTACTTGCTTACCATATACATATCTCGTGATACTTGACATGACGTCCTCCAACCCCGAACGTTTCTGTCGTTCCGATTTTGGGGGTGTGACAGATTGATATCAGAGCATTGTTTATAGTGAAATAAGTATATCAACCGATAAAAGATATACGTCTATAAATACAATGGGGCTTAAGTGCTCTGGATAATGGTATATTTTAGAGTATAGCTTCAAGTTAAAAAAATATACCTACTTGCTCATACATGTACATAATAGAACTAGGATCATGAGGAGAGCAGAACTAAAAGTATTTAAAGGTTGGACAATGTCGTCAACCTGAACAGTTATGTAATCATAGCTAGGATCAATATAGCCTGATCAACTATATTCATTCGAGATGTGTCCGACATGTGTTTGGGAATGATGTGGTGTTGCAACAGAGTTAAAACTTACCGAAACAACAGCCAAGAGAACGCCAAAACAAGTACAGTTAGAGTTAGAGTACTATGGGAGTATTCTATGATTCGATAGCGCGATAAAAAGTTTAGAACATCCCAAGTACATTACGTTAGAATACTATAGGAGTATTTTAGTCCAGATAAATAACTTATGTGATAATTTAAAAGACCCTTGCGGATAGAT